AGCCCCTAAGGCTGCTTTCCCTTTCCCAATGGGGATGTGAAACGCATCCTAGTTTCACACTTGCTTCGGTCCTGTATATATGAATGGTTCTCCCCCACTTAGATTCAACTAAGCCCGCTTGGCACATGAGAGTTGAAGGATTCCCCAACCCTCTCTCGTCCCAATGGTTAATCTACTGACAGCCGGTGCCTAACAAAGCTAGAGCACCATGAATAGCCCTTCCAAAACAACATGATTCCTAAAACCCATCTAGCACTTCTTGAATCCCAACAATGCCAATGACTCCATCTACTCAAACCAATACCACACTCGCAGCACTCACTATGCAGTCATCTGCAATCTCTTCCTCGAGCAGGAATCCAGAGTTCCCGGTGCGTTCAGGAACTTCTTGCTAAGCACAAGTGACACGAACGATCGGGTAGCACCCGAATCAAACAAGACATGCACCGACATACCATTCACCAAAAATATCCTCATACAAACATAATGTACACATAAATCAGACGAATAATAAAGAGCAGAGAATAATAAACGTGTAGCAGCTACAACGTTTGGCGCTGCCCGAGCCTCCTTCGTGGTCAACTGGAACACACGGCGCATGGAGGCCATCAGTAATCCTCATCGTGGCGCGGGTGCAGACGCCGCCACCGCTCCTTCCCCTCCCTGCAACCTTGTACATTTGACCCATTTATGGCCGGTCTGGTTGCAGTGAAAACAAATCAAGCCCTTCGTGGGGCAGTCCCTGCTCAAGTGGCCCTGCTAGCCACATGTGTAGCATCCCGATCCTGTGATGCGACAAGATCCATGGTGCACCCTACTACACTTGGCACACCGGCCCTGAACCTATTGAACCCTGCTGGAAGTGTCTGAGGTCTTAGACTTCTTAGCCTGACCCACTGCTGCCTGCGCCTGCTCTGGCTTCCGCTTGGTGCGAAAGTCCAGCTCCATTTCACGTTCCCAGGCATTCTTTACCATCTCATTCAGGGTTTTGCACCCTGTAAATCTCACAAACTCCCGAATATCATCCCTCAACATGGAATGATACCTTGTCTTATGCATATCCTCGTCAATAGCATATTAAGGAATCAACAATGCTCGCTCACGAAACTTGGCGATGATATCCGCCACGGTCTCGGTGGTCTGATGGAGTTCCTAGAACTCCCTCACCATCCTCTGCACCTCAATGGATGGTGCAAACTCCAAGTCAAATCGCCAAACGAACTTGACCCATGTCATCTCATCCACACCAGCTGCTCCCACCTGGCTATTAACCTCTCCCCACCAGTCTCGGGCCCTATCCCTCAGCATACACGAAGCAAATCCCACATTTGCTGCATCCGGGCAAGAACTCATGCACTGAGCATTCTCGATATCCGCCACCCATCGTCGGATAACAATGGGGTCCCTGACCCCAAAAAACTCCAGCACCCCACATGCCTTGAACTCCCGGAATGAGGGAGTTCGGGCCCCAACCTGACCCTTAGTAATCTCACCCCTAAATGTCCTGAGTTTCTCCTCCATAATCTTCATCATACCCTCTTTGACCATCCGAAATATGACTGAGGTAGCGCCAAGGATGCCCCTAGTAACCTCGGCTGCATTAAGCTCGTGCAAGCTCTCATCAATGACATTGGTAGTGTTGCCTGATCCAGCCCCGGATCCAGATCCCGATCCTGATCTTCCCACACCGGTCCTCCTTGAAGTCGTCATATCTAACATTGGTTTGGGTACATGTCATGTGCTTTTAGTGGTACGGGCCCAATACTACCTTCCACACTTACCTATACCTTTCCTGATAACTCTAATTCGTCCCAAAACTAAACCATATCCCACAAACTGCCGCATACATCAAATCCCAGGCCGTCCTAAGATTTACTCTACTCACATCAATCAGACCAATCATAACAGGTTGCCTTTATGCACGCAAATTATACACAGAAAATGATCAAATAGACTTTTGAATAAAAGATTCTACCGTAGGACCACAACCATACGAGGAATAGGAAATAAGGTCAAATCAATCATTCTGAGGTTATAAGCTCCTAACCGTATACAATTTTAAAAGCATACACATAGCAAGTTCCATACGATCATCAAAGCTCAAATATTAGTATAACATGGCTAACATATTGGGGAACTACTTACTTGGCTCACCTGATCACGCACGTTGCACTCTCATCTTTTTCTTTCTTTAAAAGGTTTTTCATTTTATTTTTGAAAACAATTTTACCATTTCCTTAGTTTGAGTCCTGACACACCCGAGAATATTCTCGAATCCCTCAAACCAAGGCTCTGATACCAACTTGTAACGACCCAATTTTTCACAGAAATTTTTCATTTTCGAATCATCAAACATATTTCCATACATTAAGAAATTCAGTTATAATTGTTTTCAAAACATAAGTCAAATACAACTTTTCTTCCAAACACCATAGTACCCCGTGAAAACGCCTGAGAGAGAGTGCACGTCGCACCATCACGCCTTGCCCTTGTCCTTGGGATCTGAAGTACCTAAAACAAATCCACAACCTGTAAGCTAATTCTTAGTGAGTTCCCTAGAGCATACCCCGCACACACAATTCATATATCATATTAGCTATCAGACCAATCATAACAGGTTGCCTTTATGCACGCAAATTATACACAGAAAATGATCAAATAGACTTTTGAATAAAAGATTCTACCGTAGGACCACAACCATACGAGGAATAGGAAATAAGGCCAAATCAATCATTCTGAGGTTATAAGCTCCTAACCGTATACAATTTTAAAAGCATACACATAGCAAGTTCCATACGATCATCAAAGCTCAAATATTAGTATAACATGGCTAACATATTGGGGAACTACTTACTTGGCTCACCTGATCACGCACGTTGCACTCTCATCTTTTTCTTTCTTTAAAAGGTTTTTCATTTTATTTTTGAAAACAATTTTACCATTTCCTTAGTTTGAGTCCTAACACACCCGAGAATATTCTCGAATCCCTCAAACCAAGGCTCTGATACCAACTTGTAACGACCCAATTTTTCACAGAAATTTTTCATTTTCGAATCATCAAACATATTTCCATATATTAAGAAATTCAGTTATAATTGTTTTCAAAACATAAGTCAAATACAACTTTTCTTCCAAACACCATAGTACCCCGTGAAAACGCCTGAGAGAGAGTGCACGTCGCACCATCACGCCTTGCCCTTGTCCTTGGGATCTGAAGTACCTGAAACAAATCCACAACCTGTAAGCTAATGCTTAGTGAGTTCCCCAGAGCATACCCCGCACACACAATTCATATATCATATTAGCTATAAAAGCTACCTCTACCACATAACACATATCAATTAGCTATAAAAGCTACATCTACCACATAATACATATCAATTAGCTATAAAAGCTACCTCTACTACATATCACATATCAATTAGCTATAAAAGCTACCTCTACCACAATATCACATATCTATTAGCTATAAAGCTATCTCTACCATTAGCTACAAAGGCTATCTCTACCCTTAGCCATAAAGGCTATCTCTACCCTTAGCCATAAAGGCTATCTCTACCATTAGTTGCAAGGGCTACCTCTACCATTAGCTGTAAAAGATATCTCTACCACGTATCAATGCATAAATATGCCACACACCTCTACACAGCAAGTCTACCAACTATCACAAAATGGGTCGGCCTTGGTGCCTTAGATCCATTGGTATGGTGAGAAAACTCACCTCGAATGCAGAAGCTTCCTGAAAGAAATCCTTAGCTGTTGCCCTGTCCCCTTCCTGAGCTATTAATACCGATCAATATACCCAATTAGCAAGTGGGCCCCAATACCATAATCCTTAATCCATGAATGGGGATAAAATGACTATTCTACCCCTAGCTCAGTATGATCCAAACCAAGGCCTAATCCCAAAACAAAAGCCCAACACTAGGTAGGCTTTCCAAGCCTACTAGTGGTCCACTAATGGCCCAATTTGCTAAATTGGGCCCAATCCCTTTAATGGGCCTTACCCTAAGCCCAAACATATTCCTGGCCCATAACATCTGACTTCTGATGGTCCACTAAGGCCCAAAAGCCCAAAGTCCACTGCTTGGCCCAACCCGAGGCCCAAAACACTCCAAGCCCATAACTGAGGAGTACGCGAGGTGTACTCCCTTGTACGCTAAGTGTACTGGCTGAAGGTGATGTACGTTGCGCGTACCTGCATGTACACCCAACGTATTCCTCTATTAAGCTATTTTTCCGTTAAGTGCTTAATACTCCATTCCAGCAGCTACAATTACAAATCCAAGTCCTCTTCGACATCTTAATCCATAAAGTTGATTACCTGATGGCTTGCAATCCACCAAATGAGCCAAAACTTGAAATGTGACAACAAATTTCCATGAGAAGGGCTAGATCTCATGCATGGCCACAAATGAGCCCTAAAGATTGAAACTTTACTGCTTATGGGACTTACGTATTACTAAGGGTGGCAACCCTGGACCTTGAAACGTGTTCGAGTCATAAATATCCATTCTTGGGACCAAAAGAGTCCATAACCTCATCCTAAGAGAGATCTAAGAGATTAATCATCAACCTCATGACTTTATACCTTGAAAAGGGTCTGAAGTAAAGCAATAATTCCAGATCTGAACCTTCTCTTTTGTACCAACACCTTGCCTTGACCTTTGCTTCCTTGAAGGGTGGATCCAAAACACCAAAATGCTCTCACAAAGCCTTCCAAGCTCCAAGAACACTCAAAGAAGATTAGGTTTTCGTGAAAACTGTCTAAGGGTGAGAAGGAAGCTGACCCTTGAGGGTATAATGTTCTTTATATAGTGGCACACCCTAAAATTAGGGTTTCAGGACTCTGAGGGTACGCTGGGCGTACGTCTCCAACACCCGCGACCACTTATCCCTTCTACGCGGGGCGTACCCCAGCTTACGATGGGCATACTCTTGTGCTGGCTACCTTGCATGCATGGGATCTCCTTGCCACTTTTCTCTACTAAGGACCAATAATGCCAATAACTTCAAAGTACTATAACTTCTTCATTTTAAGTCCATTTCCTACGAACTTCATAGCCACGAAAAGGTGATGAGAAACCCTATACTCCCAGCTCGACACCCAAGCCCTACAACCTTCCGAATAAGACCTGAGACCCATAAAACCCCGAATCGATATATTATGCTTATACCCTTGGCCTCTAAAGTCGCAATCGAGCACCTTCTAAACCGGGTGTTACATATGTTGAATCCAAACTTTCCATTAACCACTTATTTCCTTAAGAACTTTCACCCAGTACACAGATCTAACCCTAAAGAGCATTCTGAATCATAAAGTTTCCAACTTTATGTCTTTGCTTGGTTAGAAAGTGTCCAGATCTAAAGCCCTAACTTATCACAAAGTCCCAAGCTCCATAATTCATGCATGGTGGGAAAGAAGGGATCAAGATTGCATTTTTATGACTCCATGCATACAAAAACGTCTGAAACAACTACACATAAGGTCTGGAGTAGTTCATACCCAACTAGACCAAGAATACAGGACAAAAAGGGAGATAAATCTAAAGCTAACAAGATCTATCAAAATATTCATCAAGTTCTGAACTTTATACCTCCTAAAGAATGCTTAAGAGATGCAAATCCCATATCTGCAAGGCTTTAAGCTTCCCAAGCACCACCATCACCTTCTTCTTCCTTCAAAAGCACCCAAAAACACACTTTTAAGCTCACTATGCACTAATATGGGGTTAAGGTTTCAAAGGAGTCATTTGGGGAAATGGAGGCTGAGAATGAAAGTGGGTCATGAAGGTTAAATGCTTAAATATGGCTTAAAACCCCGAATTTAGGGTTTGGCCCTGGCCGAATACACCATACGTACTCGTATCTACACTCCGTGTAGTTTATTAAAGGCCCACCAGCTTTTCCCTTCTACGCAGCACGTAGATGCTATCTACGCCCTTCGTAAATCAAAACTCAATACTCACACTTAATACTTATAGAAAGGAATTACCTCCAAGGACCGGGGTTACATTTTTAGTGGAGGTTTTTTAATAAAAAATAATAATTATATCTCTATATCTATATGAGAGTTTTGTTCGATAGTTGTTTGATTATTGTCGGTTGAAAATATATAAAACTCATACAATCATTAAAAAGTTCATAATAAATTTTTTAAAAAGGTGTTTTCAATTGTAAAACCACTAAAAAATCATATTATAAATACTTGTATCCTAAGGAAATTTAATGCATTTTAAATGAGTTTGTCACTCTTTATTAAATTACGGCATTCCTACTTATCGAATCTGAACCCCACAGGCCCACACCACACCCGCTCTAAAATTAATGATTAGTTTGCCGGAAATTCATCCTTTAAAACAGCTGTCGTTGCCCACATCTGTCGTCGATTCTTTGGGTTTGGGACGATACCCAAAAATCCTCTTTTTATCACACCTACTTCCTCTTATCGTAACTTCGAATCGCGAATCAAAAATATCTGCTTCATACAAGTTTCACTTCTAAAGGAATTCAGGTATGTCGCCGTCTTATTGTGTCTCTAATCGTTTATGAATGTTGAATTGTTCATCTTCTTGTTTATAGATCGATCATTTCGGTTCTGTTATAGATTCGCTTTTTATTCCTTAGAATCATAGACTCGTTTTATATCATTACTTTCAACGGCTATCATTGTTCATCTTCATAAACTGAGATCTATAATTGAAAGTTTGAATCGATTTCTTTTTCCTTTTCTTTTCTTAGAACAAATAATTTACAATCCCCGACTAAGAAAATCTCAAATTTTTAGGGTTCGTAATTGCGTTTTCCTGTATCTAGTGAGTGTTTGGATGTTCGAATTTGAAGTAATTACTGTGAATTTAAGAACAAAAATCAGAATAATACAACCCCATAAAGTGATTGATTGAATAGTTTTGACTTTTGAGTAGAGATCCGTTGTTTCTTATGTCGGAAACTTTGTTTACATCCAACATGACGAACAATTCAAGGCATCTTCTTTATTTATATATGCATCAGTAATTCAGTATCATAATCTCTAACAATTCCTTCAAATGTCGTACAGCGTTAATGGCCTTAGAAGAAACACCATTTGATTCTCCAGGAAACGTGTCACTAAACAAGAACTCAAAACCAGTTTCTGAAAACTCAACAGGATTTTGCGAATGCAATATATGTTTAGATTCTGCAAGAGACCCTGTGGTTACCCTATGTGGCCACCTCTACTGTTGGCCTTGTATTTACAAATGGCTCCATGTCCAAGCAACATCCACTCTTGAATCCGATAAACAACCCAAATGCCCTGTTTGTAAAGCTCACATCTCCAACTCATCTTTAGTTCCACTCTACGGACGTGGCAATTCCAATCCCAATCCCAATTCCAATTCCGATTCCGATTCCGATTCACCATCATCGGAATCGGAATCGAAAAGCGAACACCAATCGGAGTTAGTCATACCTAGTAGACCATCAGCACCTGGCGGGGCGATTGTGCATGTGAATCAGCAAATCAATCCCCATCCGGTGCCTTTTCAGTCACAGTCACAGTTTCAGCCTCAGCAGCATATTGTGAATCACTCACACCCGTTTGGAGGGTATACGTTTGGGCCATCTAATTTTAATGGGCCAATGACACCCACTACCGGCTTTTCAAACCCGTTTGTGGGAATGGTTGGGGAGATGGTTTGTGCAATGATATTCCGGAGTTCTGATTCCGGGTTTTTGGCGGCTTATCCATACGGGTCGTACCAGAATCCGTATCCGGCTTCGGGTACCACGAGTCCACGGGTGAGAAGGCAAGTAATGCAGGTGGAGAAATCGTTGAACCGATTAACCATCTTTTTCTTTTGTTGTTTCATGTTGTGTCTTTTCTTGTTTTGAGATTTTCCTTGTCGTGTGTATAGGTTGGATTTTGTGGGTTTAGTAAGAAATATAATATATATTCAATCGAGATAGAATTTATCATGTGGATGTGATTTTGTAACGCTATATTGTGATTGATGTTGTTTGATGTGATGATGCCTCATGTTATTGTATGATATATGTTTATGTCATTGATTATCTAGATAATAGATATCGGATTAAATAAGATGACATGAACGGACACATAATGTAAATGACTTATTTGAACTTCTTTTTATTATATATGAAATGTAAATATTTTTTTACTTATGGATGTAACATAAAACCACATACAATATATATATATATATATATATATATATATATATATATATATATATATATATATATATATATATATATATACACGTAACATAATGGATATGTAGCATGTAGGAGTAAAAATACTCTGACGTGTCATCAAAAAATCACCACGTACCAACCTTGTAGACCCTTGTGGCTTGGATGGGTATGATATGATTTCGTAGGCTTGTCCGTTGTGCTACTTTTAGGAAATGAACAGAGCATTATTCGTTGTCGATTTTAAGAGATGTTGTTTATGGTTAGTGTTTTGGCGCCAAGTTGGAGTGCGACTTCGGCCCTTTTAGTCGAATTGCTTAGTTTGAATGTTAGACAGTTTGAGTCTATCAGAGAGTGGGTTACGCTATTAACAGTAGAAGTCATTATTTCTACAGTCACAATCCTTCAAATATACACTATTTTATATTTTGGTGCTCTTTGAACTTGTTTTCCTATAATTTTGAAAGTCATATAAAGCGAAATACGATATTTAATTATGAAAATTGGTTATTTTGGTGATCTTATCAATCAAATAGCGACTTGTTATTAGACCATGAAATTGGAAGCATTGGCTTTTATATATATATATATATATATATATATATATATATATATATATATAGAGAGAGAGAGCGAGAGAGAGAGATAAATAGATAGATATATAGAGAGAGAGGAAGGATTATTTGAGAACCTATATTTTCCCGAGAACCCGAAAACTAATTTTAGACCACTCGATCAAAAAAATGAAGGATCAAGATGCAAGGTGATGTTTTTATAAATAAGTTAAAAAGTAATTAAGGGAGAGCATCTTAATTATATAATATATATATAGAGGGCAATATATAGGGATATAGAAATTGAAACCCTTTATCTCTCATTCACGTCCTAAACAAAAACCTAAACCACCATCGCCATTAGAACTTGAATCTCCACCCTTCTTCATGTTTTCTTGTCATCGCTTATCTGAAATTGCCACCAGATCTACAGTCATAACTATTGAAGATCCTTCTTGATGCTCACATCTTAGCCTTCGTCAATCTTACATCCTCATCGTCGAGATCTCTTCTAGCTTCATACAGGTCCGACTTTGTCTTCGACTTCCGCTACGATTGCCTTCGAGTTCCACTACAATCACCGTTTATTTCCATTACAATCACCACAGGTTTTCATGGCAATCACCGTTAATGACTACCATTATATCGAGTATCGCAAATCAGGTACGTTCTATTACTATTCTTAGGTTTAATTCATTGGTCCATCTCCATATCGACTCAAGGTTTAACTGATTGCAAAATGTACTGTAACATTTGATTAATTTTTAAGTCAATTGTTAGTTTTTGTTGTTGATGTATGATAATTATTCTCTATTCATCAATATTCTTCAATCGAGGGACACACAAGTTTCTCTTTTTTAGTTAAGTTCCTCATGCACACCATGTGTTTGTGTTTATGTCCCACTGAGTTTATTTTGTTGCTATCATCATGTTTTTTATGTATACGGGAGTTTAGTGGGTTGCATATGTTAATTTACATACTTGAATTGAACCGAGTGTTATAATTCTTATAAAACTCTGTTTCCGTACAAGTCATACTTGTTAACCACATGACTTCTATCACCACTTTTTTATACATTGGGATAATTTACAGAGTTTAGCTCTCATTTTTTAACTTTTTTGTATAATAATCTTTATGGTGCATAACAGGAGGAGAGAAATCATTTTCATCACTATGTTTTGCACTTGCACTTCATGAGATGACACAAGCTCCATTTCAGCTATGGATGAGTTTGATGTGTTTATGGTAAAATTACTTTACATGAATAATAACCACATTAAATTTCTTTTAATAAAACACAACCAGTGGCTTGGTTTTAACTTTTAATGATCTTTATATTGCAGAATGTTGTGAGTAGAAATATAAGCTTGGACACGGTTGTGGATTTTGCTTTGGCACAAGGATCATAGTGGACATTTATTACACCTCATAATATAAGGTAAACCACAAAGTTCAAGTTTGTTTCTTTTTCGTTATTTACTTACAAAAGAGATGTTTATAACATTTTATGACAAATTTTGTAGCAAAGAAAAAAATAGTGTTGTAACATTTTATTTAATTACTTGATATATATGTATATTTATTTACATCATGGTAAAACATGATAAAGAAGCAACAAATGGCCGGTCCTCGTTCATAAACAAAAGTTTGGTTTGGTTTGGTTTGCTTTTGTTAATGCATTATGGTGTACTTTATAAAAATGGTTTTATATAATAAAAAAAAACCATTACATGTCACAAGTGAATCACATATGAATTACATGTGATTCAGATGAAAATCACATGTAATTCACATGTACATCACATATAATCCACATATAAATCACAAGTGAATTATGTATAAATTATATGTGAATCATATGTCACAAGTGAATCACATATGAATTACATGTGATTCACATTTAAATCACAGGTAATTCACATATGAATTACATGTGATTCACATGTAAATCATGTGTTATTCACATATGAATCACATATAATTCATATATGAATTACATGTGATTCACATGTAATTCATATATGAATTATATGTGATTCACATATAAATCATATGTAATTCACATATGAATTACATGTGAGTTACATGTAAATCACATATGTATTTTTGTGAGTGCTTTTGCATCAATAAATTTCTTTTTATTTTTCTTGCAGATTTGGAAGAAATTGGTTGAATATTGAAGAGATGAAAAATGATAAATTGAAGAAAATATGGAAATATCGACACGAAAACATGAAAACGCTTTGAAATTTTGTAGCATTTTTTTGTTTTTGATATTTTATATTGTATCGAATAAAATACTTATTGTATTGTGTTTATAGATTAGTAAATAAAATAAGTTTTCTTATGATTCCTTTACACATATTATAATATATGAAACATACATATATGCACTTGTAAAAATATGCATAAATGTACCAAAAATATGCATATATGCACCTAAAAAAATGCATTTTTTGTTAAATAGTATCTTTTTGAAAAATTTTGGTTTTTGAAAAAACTGCAGTTTTTTTAAATAAATGCATTTTTTTTAAAAAATTACAAGCTTTTTAAAAAAATTGTAGCTTTTTATTTTGAAAAGTTTGCAGATTTTTTTTTAAATGCTGTTTTTTTTAAAAGGAAATACAATTTTTATTTTGTATTTTTTGAAAAAATTGCAATTTTTTTTTGAAAAAAAAAATGCAGTAATTTTTTTCTAAAAAAATGCAGTTTCTTTAATATTTTTTTCATTTTAAAAAAAAATCATGTTTTCTTAAAAGAAATTAAAAGATCTCCATTTTTTTTTAAATCAAAAATAATTTAAAAAAAATCCAAAATTTGAGTTATAATATTAATTTTTAAAACTTTGTATTAATGTTTCCAATAATAAAAAATATTAAACATTAAATGAGATTGGTATGATTACGATCATGCCCTTATTGAATTAGTTTTGATCTAACGTTCCACTTTTAGTTCTCATGTTCTCAGAAAACTATGAGTTCTCAACCGATCTCACCATTATATATATATATATATATATATATATATATATATATATATATATATATATATATATATATATATATATATAAGGGTGAGATTGGTTGAGAACTCATATTTTTCCGAGAACATGAGAACTAAAAGTGGAGCGTTAGATCAAAACTAATTAAATAATGAATATTTCTTTGAAGAAAAAAATAAAATCCTAAGTCGTTTTGTAAGGGAAAATAACTTAATAAGGTAATATAATTTCCATTATGTACACGTTTAGTTCTTATTATTTTTTTTTTTGTTTTGTTTTTTGAAAATAAATCCTTGAAATTATTTTTTTGTACAATTTCAATCCTTATGACCGACTACTCCAGCTTAAGTTCTCAGTTTGTATATATATTTAATCCTTAATTTATTTATTTATTATTATTATTATTATTATTATTATTATTATTATTATTATTATTATATTTTTGCAAAATAAGTATTTGTTGTTTTTGTATACATTTAGTCATTATGATAAGTTTTTGCAGGTTTTGTTCACATGATATCTTATGTGGGGTAATCATTAATGATGCGTTCTCATATGTGACTCATATTGGAAATGAAATCATGTGTTTCTTGTCTTTGTTTTGGTAATAATATTGTACTTGTGATATTAGTAACAATTATAGTACAATACTAACTATATTTAATGAGAATGCAAACTTCATTCAATATCAATACCAACCACATTATATCATGTGAAGAAAATACATTATTCATAATGATTTCAATTGTTGGAAATAATATCCACATTTATAACATTTAGTGATAGTGTTATTAATATTATAGCCGTTTTGGATTACATGCAATGACAAATTTAAGCAATTATTGATATGAGAGTTTATCGGGGATCTAATTTGTTAATTTATTAGTGATTAATAAATTAATAGAAGTTCATGACACGTCTCCTTAATCCTCATGATAGAACCCTAAACGTTTTAGGGTTTTAGTATTTTTGTTATTCAAGGTGGTTGAGACAGATGGAACTTTTTTTCATAGGGTTATTTTGTCTTGGAAGTGCAAATTCGAGGTGATTGAGACACCTTATTCTTGGAGAAAATTGGGGCACTACATTATTTGACCAATACGTTAATTAGGTTACTGAAATAAGTGAGGGACAAACCACATATGAAAACATCTTATTAATGATTGTTTCACGCAAGATTTCATTTGAGCAAAACCTAAAGAAAACTGGTCATAAGGACTGAATGTGTACAAAAACAATAATGACTTATTTTTCAACAAGAAAAACATTAAAGACTAAATATGTACAAACTAAGAACTTAACCTATAGTAGCTGATTATCAAGATTGAATGTGTACAAAACAACAAGTTAAATAACTTATTGTATAAAAAATATAAATAAATAAATAATAAGGACTAAATATGTAGATAAAGAAAACTATGTATAAGTAATTTTTTAATTTTTTCAATTAATTGAGTAAGTTATACGAATGGTCCCTATGGTTTGAGGTAATTTGCATGTTTGGTCCCTAACTTGTTTTTGTAACTCGAAATGCCCTTGTTATTTGTTTTTGTTGTGTGTTTGTCCTTGTCTTATCTAAAAATACTATTTTGTCATTAATTTTTTTAATTTATTTAAATAAACGCATCTTCAACCCTACTTCCACTTCACATTACCTTACATTACCTATGTCACCTTATTTGAATAAATTAAAAAATCAATGATAAAATAGTCTTTTTAGGTAATACATCACGCAACAAAAATAAACTGTATCGATCTTTCGAGTTAAAAAAATAAGTTAGAGACCAAACATGCAAGTTATCCCAAACCATAGGGACCATCCGTGTAGTTTACTCTAAATAATTTAATATCAGTTTCAGTTTGATCCCCCTACGACCCTGTACGGTTCGACGCGATGCATACTCCCTTTTCGACAGATTAGCCAAACACCGGTCTAACATTTTTATTGCGTTTTAGGTTTTTTCCCTTCTTTTTTCTTATTTTCATTTTCAAAACCCTTATCAGCAATCCGGCAATGGCGAAGGACCGAGGAGATACCTCAGATGACGACAGAGTTCTCAAAGGAGCATCCTCCAAGAAAGAACATCACCATCATCACAAATCCAAGAGGAAATCGGAAGATTTACCCGACCCTGAATCCAACGTCTCATCCGGATCCGATCGCGGAAGCAAAGACAGTGGCCGCCGGAGCAGCAAAAGGAAGAGAAACCGCCGGTCCAGAACGAAATCACGACGGGAATACAGCGACGATGAGGATGATGATCGGTCGGATTCCGATACTGACTCTGAGTCGGAATCGGAGTCAGAGTCGGGGAGTTCGGTGTATTCTTCAGAGGATGAAAGCGAAAGTGAGGAGGAGAGGCGGCGGAGGAAGAGGAAGGAGAGGAAGAGAAGAGAGGAGAAAGAAAAGAGAAGGAGAAGAGAGAAAGAGAAGAAGAAGAGAAGGAAAGAGAGGGATGAAGATAAGTCGAAGAAGAAGAAAAAAAAGAAGGATAAGAAGAAAGAGAAGGTGAAAAAGGGAGCTGTTACAGATTCATGGGGGAAGTATGGAATTATTAGAGAAACTGATATGTGGTAAGTGTTTAGCTTTGATTTCATTGATTCTTCTTTACAGTTTACTTACCATTGTGTTCATTTAAACAATCTGCACAATTTAACCTGCAAATCCTGAATAGGGTTTGAGAAAACATTGAAGCAAATCCATATTTCATAATTTGAATTCCTGATTCATAAAATTAGGATATCAATTATTGATTCTGTTCACAAAATTTTCCATGATCATCATCTATCTATCGCTTGCAGGAACAAAAGACCAGAGTTCACTGCTTGGCTTGCAGAAGTGAAACAGGTTTCTTATTAACAATTCAATGTCTTTGCTAGATGATTTAGCATTTAGCAAATACAGTTTCTGACTATAATGCCCTTTCCATTTTCATATTTGCAATTACAGGCGAATCTTGAAAGTCTTCCCACCTGGGAAGAGAAGCAAATGTTCAAACAGTATGTTTTTTTTCACTGATTCTTTATCCAATTCTTATAAATCCCAATTTTTCTTTCCCTTTTCTATCAAATCCATCATTCTGACCTAAATACCCCTACAGGTTCATGGAAGACCATAACACTGCCACTTTTCCTCATAAAAAGTAAGTAAAGAATCTGTTCTTAATGTTACACAATGCATAGAGTTCTTAAATTACTTATAAAGTTTTTATTATTATATATCTTTTGGGTCACAGATACTATAGCCTTGATGCTTATCACCGAAGGAAAATCGAAAAAGCCATTAAAAAAGGGTCCACAAAAGCTACAAAATCAGAACGTGTTGTGTTTGATGATGAAGAGCAACGCCGGTATGTTTTCATTTTTATGATAAGGGCATTTTCGTCTTTTTGCACATCCATTGACACGATATTCTATTATTGTTTGTTTTCTCAGACTAGAATTGCAACGAGAGCGTGAGAAACAGAAGGAAGCGGAGGTAGAAGCTTTGAAGCGCTCAATGCAAAGTGGAATGGTATTTATCATATCACATGTATCTGTTATCTGTTATCTGTTATTTTGTCATCTGACTGTGTATATGTTTGGATTGGTAGGCGCAAGCAATGAAAGAACAAGCTATACTAAGAGAAGAGATGAATTACTTGTTCAAAATCGGCAACGTTGAGGTGGGTGTATGCTACTATTTATATATTTTTTTTATATTGAAAAAAGTAATTTAAAATTTGGTTGTAATAATAATGTGTGTTTTGAATTGTAATGTTTTACAGGCAGCAAGTGCTATTCAAAGACGATTGGATCCTGATCTTCCTATGTGATTTAATCATTTGTTGAAAAGTTGAAAAAAATTTATTGATTTCAAAGTATGTAAGAATATAGAGGTGTTTGGAATTTGATGTATGTTTTTAACGCATGATTTGATTATTTACTATTCTAAGTGACAACTAACAAGATGCAACAAAATTGGTTAACCAACTAAAAGTAAAAATCAGACAATGTTATCATTTTTCTAAAAGTGTAAATTGGTGATAAATTATTCAAATGCTAATATATTAACATTGTTTTTTACAAGAAAATGGTTGGAATCATAGATGGGAAAGGCTTATATTTAAAAACACTATTTTTAGAATTCAAACCGATAGTTTTTTTTTTTTTTTTTTTTTTTTTTTTTTTTTAATATCCAAATTCTTAGAATAGTATTGTAATTTGCTGAAGACTGAGGTATGTTTGGATGATTCAATTCTAGTTTATAAAAATCCTCGATATATTCTAGTTTATTAAAATCCTAAATATAAATTTTTAGTTATAATAAAGTGTCATTAAAAAGATAATAGTTGCGTTTGGCGAAGCTTATAAAAATATTGTGTTATATATTAAACTGATTAGGTTATAACCCGTGGGCACCACGGATGAGTAAAATAAAATTAGTTTTATTTAAAGTAATATTTATTTATTGAGGAATGATAATATATATTTTAATAAGTAATAAATATAGTTGTTTTATTAGTAATTTGATGATGATATACTGATTCGTTAAAATTACGAAAAAATATTGTTATAAATATTGAATGGTCATTTTTTTGTAGATATTTTCTAAAAATATCATTTTTGTATAAGTGAATAAAAAAGTAAATAAAATAGAAACAAAAATTGATATATAAAATTTAATTTTACAAATTTTTTATAAAAATCTAAAAACTTCTTTATACACAACATTTGATGTTTTATTTGTTAGTCTACCACTCTTATCTAAAATTAATAATTTTAATCTTTCTCTACTTTGCACTCTGGATAAAGCAACGTACAATTGGCCATGTGTAAAAACGGGCTCTTTGAGAAACAGACCAACCTTCGACAAAGATTGTCCTTGGCTCTTATTAATTGTCATTGCAAAACATACAACTAATGGAAATTGTCTTCTTTGGAATTTGAACGGGATCTTGTCTTCAGAAGGAGTTAAAGACATTCTTGGAATAAAAGTTGTGTTTCCAATATTACTTCCAGATATGATAACCGCCTCAATAACACGTTTGCCCAAAGATTTTACTTGTAGTCTAGTGCCATTGCATAAGCCATTTTTCTGATCAATGTTTCTCAACAACATAACTGGAACACCGATTTTTAAAATGAGCTTATGGTTTGGGAGACCTGATACTTTAAGACCATTTAAAACATCAGGTGAGTATAAATTTGCATCAAACTGATTATGAACAAACTCGGATTGGCAGAGGCTATCTGAACTTAAATATTCTTTTTGCTCTCCTGGAATCAATTTTAGCAAACGCTCATTTATTTCTTGGACAACTTCATTTTTGGGAGCAAGTATTGCTCTTTCTTGAAAATAACCTGCAATGTTGAAGTTTTCCATAATTGAAGGATATACAAACTTGATTAATGAACCAATAGAATCACATGGATCATTAATGAGAATATCTTCTGGAATATCAACAATTGCTTGACCATCATTCAGACCACCAAGATTACCTTCTCCTATGTCCAAAAGCTAGTTTGAAAAACCCCTTATTTTCTCAACACCAGATGGATCGCTTCCAACAGTTAACCTCATGTTTTTTGTTAATTTATGGACTTTGCAATGTTGCCATAAATATGAAGAACTTAAAGAAGCATTAACAATGTTTTGTCTACTGCTACCCGGAACAACAGGCAAAATTTGTCTGAAATCACCTCCAAAAACAACCACTTTCCCTCCAAAAGGAGTATTCGAGTTCGTAGGATTGAAACGCTTTAATATATCCTTCAAAGTTCGATCTAAAGCTTCAAATGCATGCTTGTGTACTATAGGTGCTTCATCCCAAATGATCAATGATGTTTTTCTTACTAAATTGGCAAGATCACTATCTGGGTTTATTCTACAATAAGAATCCTCGGTAAGATTAATGGGTATTATAAACCGAGAGTGTGCTGTCCTGCCTCCAGTCAATAATAATGAAGCAATCCCGCTTGAAGCTACATTTAAAACAATCTCACCTTCGGATCTAATTGCTGCAGAAATTGTCTTCCAAAGAAATGTCTTACCTGTTCCACCATAACCATAAATAAAGAATACACCTCCCTTATTATCTTTAACCGTAGTCATGATATCAAGGAAAATGTTGCGTTGCTCATCTGTTAATGAAACAAAAAGACGATCAAAGTCATTCTTTAAATTTGGTATGTCATAATCTAGCTCCTCAGTTATCAGACGATTGTTTAAAGATGAAATCGAATCAACATCAGGGCAAGGCATCCTTCTATAGTTCTTGAGACTGGTGTTGTTTCGGAGTAAAATTTGTTCTATCTCAAACAAAGTCAAGTTTTTAATTTGATCTTCGTTTAGTGATAAACCTGTATGAATAATGTTATATTACGTACAGTCAATTAAAAAACATAATAAATGAAAGTAAAATGTAATTAACCATAAATTTGAAATTTATATGTTATAGTTATAAAAAAAATGTAATAAACATATAATACCTGGAGATTTTAATCTTTGTTGTTGAGTATAAAGAATTCCATCTGACAGATATTCCCATGTGTTGTCCCAGACAATCTCCGGGTTAGACAAACTGTTGGACAATAGCATCGTAGCAAATAAAAAACGTAGATAATAACCAGATCCAGAGAGCCTTGCTTCCTTAATTGCGTCGATGTATTCTTTGTCATCATCCAAAAGCCCAAGATTATAGCATGCATCTTTAAAAGAAGAACATATTTCACCATTAATTGTGCGAATTTCTTCAAATAATTTTGGACCTTTCACTTTATTTAAAAGAATTCTTAAGAAATACGCTTCGCCAAGTTTAGGTGAAACCGAGTGAATTCTACCAATTGAATATCCAACTTTCCTTGGCTTCCAAATTTGAAGTTTAGGTTTCCAAACAAACTTTGTAGGAAATTCAACATAAGTAAGTTTCCGTGCTTCTTTATTGATTTCATTACACTTCATCCAAGATGTAAACATTGAAGAAGCAACTGAAGGCCGGTCAAGAACATCTTCAATATCATCGTCTGCCTCATATACAACTTGTTGTTGTCCAGGAAGATGAAACGGTAGTCTGATCACAGCAGGATACCTGTAATGAACATCATATTTAAAAATCCTCCATGATGCTTCACATGCAGATATATATCTACAATCATAGTATTCTTTGATTTCATCCACTGCATCGTTGTTATCAGAATCATTATTGTTTTGCACCATAGTAACAGTAGCCCTATCAGGACCTTTGTTTATATATTTAAATAAATACTTTATCGAAGATCCTTGATTGCACCATTCAACATTAATGTGTGCTTGATATCTTTTCAAAAGATATTTATTGTATGGAACAACATTTCTGTTGTCTAACTGGACCCCAGATTTTTCAACGGTATGTCCATCATTTCTTCTCCTATATAAGGGGAAACCGTTTGAATCAACTGAAGTATGATTACAGAATTGTTTTGGAAAGTTTTTAGAACACTTTCTGTCCACTATGCATGGGCAATTGAAATTTTCAGCTCCACAAGGACCATGGATCATGAAGTCTTTCACAAGTGAATACAATTCTGGATCTTCATTGATATTTGGAATTTCAGCAGAAATATATGGGTCGATATATTCAACTGTAGGAAGATTGCAGTCAGCATGCATAAAAAGACATATATGACTATGGGGCAAACCTCTTTTTTGAAATTCAATTGTATAAACAACTGCACATAAAATTATACAAATAGGATAGAAGTTAGGAATTAAACAAATTTTGTGTTTATGTATGTATGTATACATACATAATAAAAAAACATAATTTAGATACCTATAGGAAAAATATAAATGATAATATTTTATAGTTATATATTAAACTATAATTTTAGATACCTGATTGGACCGTGCCAAAAATTTTGTTTTCCCTTAAATCTTTAATAAATGCATCCAGCTTGATCTTAAATAACCTACATAATATATCCGGTCTATCTTATGGATGAAGTGGAGTGTCCTTAAGAAACCTTTGAACTTCTGGCCATTTTGGATTACATGTAAAGGTTATGAAGAAATCAGGATATCCAAACCATTTACAAAGCGACATGGCATCCAAATAGTTTTGCATCATATAGCGTGCACCACCGGTAAATGAAGAAGGTAAGATCACACGTTGCCCAACGTTCGATATATCTGTACTCCCGAGTGCTTGGTGATTACGCAATTTCTCATAAGACTCACATCTAAGAATTTTTTGTTGCTTACGTATAAAAATTAATCTCTCACTTTCAATCATTGTATAACCATCAACTAAAAATTGTTGGAACAACCTTTTTGCATTGAGAAGTAATGAGAATGATTGATCTCTATCTTGAATTCTGTAAGCAAAAAATTCTCTCATTGTACAGGTTGGGCGCTTGCTATTACTCGAAGATGTAATACCTCTATGAAGAATGTCAACTCTGTAACCATCATCACCATATGGAAATAGTAATGGATATTGAAGAGTAAGGTAAAAAGGATGTAATTCACTGATACGCTGAAGTAGTCCTGATGAGGTTTGAACAACGATATCTCTTTTTTCAACTGAATCATAAATGTCACCGACAATTAAAGCGGCTACCTCCGAAGAAGTTGGCAAGTTATATGTCCTTCCATCTTGTTCTCTTTTTCCTATTAATCTTAACTTCAAATTAGCACCAGGGTTTTCGTGAAGACTGTCTCTTACCATCCTATAAGACTTGACTAACGCATTGTTTGAATCTAACATAACCTTCAAAAACTTGATAATCTGGAGATCATATGATATTGAAGTTGATGTAGAAGCGCTTGTCGGTCCACTAAAAATATTATAAAACATATTTAATGCTATTAAAAGAATTAAAAGAAATAAATTGATTTATTAAAGAATAGGAAATTGTAAAAATATACCCAATAGTTGTCGATCTATTTGAAATTTCATTTTCGGTATCATATATGTATAATTGACAAAATTTTGGTCTTGATCCAGGTGTAGGTAAAAGACTTCCCATACTATGATAGTTTTGACCGCTAAGTTTGAATATGTATGGTGCGTTGCCTTTGTTGATGGATGAATCAACTTTTCCTCCCATCGATGTAAATGAAAACATTGAATTGTAACGTCGAATGTTCTTCATAAAGTGCTTGCTTTTTGAATCTACCGATTTGTAAAGATTTTGGTAAGATGACGGTGCTTCTTTTAAGGGTGGTAGCTCAACTTTGCCGTAACCACAACATAGTGAATAAGATGTATTGCCTTTTTTTTGCCCTCTAAGCGATTCATCTATCCATAATTTTGCATGACAAAGGTGACATGTAACAGTTTTGTCTCCATGATCCAAGTAATCTATTAAATGCAAAAAAAAATTATATAATTAAAAAAATAAAAAAAAATTAGAATATTAAAAAATATAGAATTATGATCACCTTTTGATATACCATGGAAAATATCGTGAACGATATAAGCATCATGAATTTCTTCATCTAATGTCAAGTCAAAAACAGGTATAGAGGATATATCTGGAGTCTTCCTTTTTAGATGATGTTTTCCTCTTGGTAACTTGATTGATGAAGAATTTTGGATTATTGTCGAACGATTGCTGGATGTCGTGGCATTACGAAACACCAAATTATCTTTTTTAATAGATAGTGGTGTTTGAAAGTTATTATTGAAAATATAATTTCCTGTAAAAAAAATAGAAATCAAAAGTCAATAGTTGTTATGATTAATATAAATGTGAATCATATATTTTTAAATTTGCGTATTTAGAAATGCTTACCATTTGAAATGTTAGAAAATGGAGTTCTAACATTTATATTTGTTGAAGAAGAATTATGAATTATTGTCGAGGGATTGGTGGATGTCTTGCCAATGCGAAACACTGAATTATCTTTGTAAATAGATAATGGTGTTTGAACGTTATTGTTGAGAATATAATTGTTTGATAAAATGAAAATACAGATTAGAACATTAGGAATTGTTATGTTTTATATAATTTTGAAGCATATATTTTTTAATTTTTGAATAAAGAAATGCATACCATTTGAAACTGTTGATAAGTGTGTTGTAACATATTTATTTGTTGAAGGAGATTGAGTACGTGTATGTTGATATACACATGAGTTGGTTGAGTTTATATTTTCCTTGTTTGATGTAACTTTTGCATGGTTATCTGTAGATTGTAATATACGATGATAATTGTAGACATATGTTATATAACAAAGAAATTGTTAGTAAGAAAAAAAACTATTAATTAATAAAAATAAAATAAATTAAAGAGTATGCAAAGTTTCTATTTATATTATATTTGCAAATGAATTGTAAAATAAAGAAATATATATACCTTTATTCGATTTGCTGGAAACATGTGGAATAGATGAATTTTGATGGGGTGATGTGTTATGTAATATTTTGGATTTTTTATTATCCAAATATAACTTTCTAATTTTTCTCCTCTCTTTAGCGGTTGTAGATTCGATATTGTTATTTGAACCTGTAAAATAGCATAAAATAACTTAAAGATATTTTTATTTGATATAAATTTAAATATAACGTATTGTATTTATTTCACTTATATAAAATTATGAATCTTATATTTAAAATAAATAAGAAACTAACATATTATCAATGCAAAATAAAGTAAGAAAAGTACCGTATTGACTAAAATGAAAAGGATGTGTTGCTGATGTATAATGAGATGATGATGTAGTATTGGGTTTTTTAAATTTTCTGTTATCCAAATATAACTTTCTCTTTTTTCTTCTCCCTCTAGCGTCATTTTCATCCATGTTCCTGTTTGATAAATAAAAAAAATTTTAAAAAAACTGTTAAAAATAAAATTAAGGATCTGAAAGTAATTGTTACATAGGATTTATAGGTAAATTAATTTGTATTTAATTGAATTTGAAAATTGAATACTAATTAAATTTTTTATGATAATGAAATATGTAAATAATAATATTGTATAATGATATATAAATAATCTTTACTTATTAAATTGTTTTAACATATTATATAAAATGGAAATTTAAAAAGTTTATGTTTATTTAAATTACAATTTAATAAATATAAAATGTTATGTTTTTTTAAAACACACTTTAATAAGAATCGACATTATAATATAAAGATTTAGGTTATTATTTAATGTATATTTAACCTAAGATTGAGTTGTGATACATACAATTAAAAGATAAAATTAGAAAAAAAAAAAAAAAAAAAAAAAAAAAAAAAAAAAAGTATTTGATGTCTTTGTATAAGTGTTCATATATGTATATATATTGTTTTTATTTAAAAAAAAATAAGAAATATAAATTTATGTTTTATATTATTGAATATACTAAAGGAAGAGTTATGAGTGTTGAGTAACCCCATTTTCCCCCTTTTCTTGTAATAGAAAGGAATACCATTCCCTTTTCCAGTCTAACAAAATCTCTATTTTCGACTCATCTAAAACGATCGATTTCAGAAATGGTATGGAAAGCTGTCAATTTCTAAGGATGAAGGCATATACAATAATACAGGTACAGTAGAATTTAAAAGTGAAATGAAAGTTATAGTGCAATTTAGAAGTCGGCGAATTAAGGTAGGAAAAAATTCGGGTTGAAGAGGGTAAAATCGAAGGAAAGAAGTTATCTACATCGTTGTTAATTGTTAGATTCTTTCAGAGAAAACACATTACTTGAAAGATAACATTACCTGTGATTTTTCTGCAGCAAAGACGTGTTTGAAGTTCCGAGCGAAAAATGAAGTGCTAGTGACGAATAGGTTAACACTCAACACTGGAGACACAATCAGGTAAGTTCCAATCTGATTTAAATTCTGAAATTCATTGTGTGTATTAATTTGAAATTTAAAATTCAAATTTGCTATAAATTAGGGTTCAATTTGTGCAGATTATTACTGTTATTAGTATAAGTAAGTAAGTTAATTTTTTTATGTTATACACCTTCCAAATACGAATGGTCAAAGTTTATAATATTTTAAAATAAATGTTTAGACGTTTTTACCCTTACTTGTATCCAGTTCATGAGTTTTTTCCCTGGTTTAGTTGAGCTGATGATGTTTATTGATCTTTTATGGGTTGGTATTATTGGATTTACTTAAGCTGTTAGTCTCCCTCTTATGCAATATTTGTTATCCTGTCATGCTCTTGTATTTGTTGAACTTCCTGATCAATTTGTTAATTTTTTAGTAATTTCATCCTTTAAAAAAATTGGAAATTATTACTTTTGATAATCATTTAGGGTTTTCTACCTGAGTATACTGGGGTATTTATGTGATTGGTGTTAGGTTAGGCAAGAAAGTTTTGTTTGCAAGATGCTAATCTGGGAAGTAATACATTAGAAATTGCATTTCAAAATAGTTAGTATTGTATTTATCTTGTTCTGATATATTATTATAACAAAAAACAGTTATGTTTTACAAGAAATTATTGTAGTTAACGATGACAAACAGAAACCAAAATACATGACTTTGCTGTAATAAGTTAAGTTATAAGGATAAACCCACCTAAAACTATAGTAAAATAATTTAAAGAAAAAAGGTTTGAATTGTCATTTAGGCATATATTATGTAGTGTACATTTTTTTGGTTGTAATACAAACATGGTAAAGTAGGCTGTCTTTTAATAATAATTCTATCTACAGCAAAGATAATATGCCAAAGAAATAATGTATAAAGCTAATATTATGTAAGAAACCAGACAAAGAAGTCTATAAAATAATATAATCACTGGTAATAGCATTATAAATTTAGAGATATACATAGTAATAGCAATGAAGTCTATAAAATAATATAATCACCGGTATGTCGATTTTTTTTAACATTTTACTTTTCAGATTGTATTCGCTATATTTACGGATTGTAGTTTAAAATAGTAATGAAGTAAAATTATGTTATGTGAGTCAATTAACAAATATTATAAGATATTTGTTAATTAGTTTTTATCATTTTTTTTAGTAACAGTTAAAGAGCTTTATGTTTGTCAAGTAATAAGATGGTATAATAATAAAAGAAAGTAAATTTGGTTGTTATTTACCTAAGGTACAACATAAGGATGCAAAATCAAGTAAAATTGTGTTAATTGATTCATGTAAAAAAATATTTATAATTTATAAGATACTGATCAAAATCATATATCGTAAAATCAGTGGTGGTTATTTCTTTTCAGAAACACGTTTATGTTGGTCAAATAATACGATGTTATAATAAAGAATCCCTTCTAATTTTTTGTTGTTATTTGCGTAAGATAGAACATAAGTACGTATTTTATGTAGTATTACACCGTTTATGAATGTAATTAGAAGTCATTGTAGGAATTTAATTAATGTCCTTAAATTGAATTCACAAACATCATTCATGGAGTCGTAGTGTTACCTATTTTATAAGTATTAGATATAATAAGCAAACAAATCATATTGTAATAAAAAACGACTAAAACATGAATCCTGAAGGTTTTATGAATGTATAATAAAGAAAAATTAAAAAAAACCAGCACCGGAAAACAAAAGTTTTCAAACTGAAAAGTAGGATGTTAAAATACGATAATGAAAAATAAAAAGTAGTCTATGATTATTTAAATCCATTCCAAAGAAGCATTCCAAATTAAGCACGAAACCTTAAGTCAGACATTCTTTTCCACCTTTACCTTCAACAATTCTTTTGTTGAACCATCTGGGGATGTCTTTGGAGTTTTTGACGATGAAAATTTTTCATTAGACTCCAAATCAAAAACTTCTTGCAGATTTCTCTTTAAAACTGGTGTTGTTGAAATCTTCAGTGGACTTGTTGCCGAGTTTTTGTCCAAAGTGTTGGGAGTTATGTTATCATCCGTAGCAGAAATTGCATCCTAAAAAACAATTATATATCATTCTTTTATAAAACAAATTATAATTTTATACTATATTCGATATTTTGAAATGTATAATACCTTTAAAGTCTTGTTGTCAAGAGATTGAAAATCAGATGAATTAACATCTAATGACTGTGAATTATCTGCCTGTATAAGAAAATAGGTAGCAAAATAAATTATTTGTTAAATACTTCATGTTTAGCTAAATAACATAAAACAAAAAAATAAGTAATGTGTTTACTTGAGAAGAATTAAATTTATCTTCAAGTTGTTCGATTAAACTGTTATCATCAGAAATTCTAACAATACCATATTGGTTGGTTTTTTTGGACACATTGAATCTATTTGAAGAAATCTTAAAGGCAAATTTCAACCCTTTCAATGCATTCATCTCCATTGGGTACAAATCAACATTGTCTCCATTCTGCAGTTATGCAACATTATCAAATATGTATCTTAAAGTGAAAATAAATACAAAATTTACAACATTTTATCTAATAAGTTGAAATGACCTTGGCTGCGGTGTTAAAAAAACTCTTTGGCTGATTTCTTCAACAAATACCTTCCTTCTCTTTCAAACAGAGTTAAGGTGATTGTGTCGGTGTTATCTTGAACACGGATCGGTCCCCGGCATTGTTCTCCGACGATGTCCCCTGGGCGAAAGGGGACACCATTCTCTTTCTTTAATCTTATATCTAAGAAAATAAAAAATTATACTAATATATATTTGGTATTAGATATTATTTAAAGATTTTTATGGACGGTAAGAACCTTGGAACCACAGAAGTTGTAGTTTTTGTGCAATCTACGTTATGACATTCATAAGATTTAGCTGTTCCATCTACTTGATTATTGTTAGGGACTGCTTTGCTACTGCAGTTTGTACACGCTTGATAGAACCATTTTTCATTTTGTAATATTCCTTTTATAGTGCCCACAAGAATGAATGTACATATCTGGATAAAAAAAGTAAGTTTGTCAAAAAATAAATATGCAAAGCAAAAAAAGTATATTAATAAATATACCATCACATATACCTCCACTAGTTCCCAAACTTCAGAAATAGTCTTGAGCTTATTTTTAACCATGAAGTCATCATATTCAGAAACTTGGTTGGCAGGAATAAGTGAAAAAGTATGTGAAGAGGAATCAGGACGATCATCCCTTTGTAACCTGTTTTTTTATACAATTACAAAAAATTTAGATACATAGGATGTAATGATAAAAACCACACCATATGACATAAATTACCTTTTCTTGAAAACAGAAATTTCATCTATGTCGGAGTTAATGAACAATCTTGAGGATGTATAGTAGGTGTTGACACTGGGGCGATCTATAAAAAAATTATAAATATTATTTAAATATAACCGATGGTCTATAAGACAATGTATAACTAATGTAAAAATTATTATAAATTTTTTTTTTTTGAGTAATTGAGTTTACCTCTCCAAACATTAATTTGCGCAAACTGAAGTATAACAATGATTTGAAGATTGTGTGGATTGTCTTGTATATACTCTTGCATTTGGTACGCATAATCACCCCACAAAACCAAGCGTATTTCCAAACCACTGACAATGCAACAACAGTTATTAAGTTAATTATATATAAACATATAATCTTTTAAGTATTACATATAAATATATTGAAAAACATACTTTTCATTCTGGATATGGATGTGAATCTTGTGTTTGGACTTCTCAGTGTTTTCTCTTGTCATTTCCCCAACAGCAACAACCAATCCAATAACATCTAAGATATAAGAAAAATATGAATGAAGTGGTGTTGAGAATATGGAAACATCATATCATATCATATATAAACATTAAATATGAAAACTTGAAATTTCATTAAGTAAAAAATATAATAAATAAACATACCGAGTGACAAATTTTGAGGATGAACCATTGACAGCACAGATTGAAAATCAACAAAAGAAAAACCAAATTTAGGCCCGCTAAATTGGGTACATTCTTTAACAACGGTTTCCTGCACAAACGTGAGTTTTTGATCTTGGGGAATTAACATAAAAGTATTAGGCTTCAGAGATGCAAAGCTTGGAGATGTGATGTAATATGACTTCCCATCTTTTAAAATTTTTTTGAATCGATAGAGGAATTTTTTAGGGACCGATGCTTGTATTTTGCTCCCCTAAAAACACAATATATTATAAGCATTAAACATTAAAATAGATAAATATTTATATTTAACACATACGTAAAGATATATATAACATACTTGTTCATCGACCAAGATTAATTCAATGGACCATATTTCATTCTTGTTGTAGAAAGACATTTGCTTCCAATGGTTTATGACACGAACCTTGATACTCAAATCATCCCTTGTTACATCCAAGTCAGCTATGAAACTAATATTTGTTGTGTAGACATATCCCTACAAATATCAGAATCCATTCTATAAGTTAGATGCCAAATAATTGGTAACTACAAGAGAGTATTAGTGAAATTATCCGTAATAGTATATATGTACACTTCTTCAAAGACATAAAGATGCATACATAGCAAAGATGAATCAATAAACACCTTATATTCAAAAAAATTCAAAATGGTAAAATTGAAGAAAAATATAAAAAACTGTATGGAGACATAAAAGCTTTACCAAAATATGAGAATTTGAGTAAAACAGAATAAAAAACAGATGAATATTTAAGCATCGTACGTATGATAAGTTTATTTAAATCAATAACTTAGTGTACATAATTGTGTTGAAAACATTAAAGTGTGTATATTCTGTCAATATTTAAGCAGTGTACTTATCAAAAGTTGTTTTAAATGAATAAGTTATGAAAAAAGCTGCAAAAGATGAATATTCGTTACATAAACATCAGTTTCTTGAGTATAGATAATTCATAAAGAAAGAAATTGAAAACAATCCCAAACTTTGTAAAACTGTTTTCCGAAAAATTAAAATGATGAGTCAAAAACATAAAAAACAGATGAATATTTAAGCATTGTACTTATCAAAAGTTGTTTTAAATGAATAAGTTATGAAAAAAGCTGCAAAAGATGAATATTCGTTACATAAACATAAATTTCTTGAGTATAGATAATTCATAAAGATCGAAATTGAAATATAGTCAGTGAAATATAGACATCTTAATTAATGATTAAAAGATATAGATGAGTGGCAATAGAAATGAAACACAAACCTTTTATTATTATCATCGATTGTGCTTAGTTTTTCCTGTTCCATGGAAGTCATCAGAGCTCACAGAGAATGTCGTCAAAGAATGTGTGAAATATAATACTAAGTGATACTAAAACCGATTTATTATTATATAAATTGATATATGTGTATGCCTTTATTTTGAACCTGATTTTCAGGGATTTATCTACGGTATATTTGAATCAGAAGATCAGAAGATTGGAGGATAATTGACAGGCATAAATTTCGGCTGCTGAAATTAAGGGATACAGGATCGTGATCTTCAATCTTCAATATTGAATAAGGAATTTGAATTTTGAATTTATTTTGGATATGGA